GTGGGGGCGCTGCTGCCCCTCCCCGTGGCCCGGGAGTGCACTGCGCTCCTGAGAGGCACCAGGCACCTCCTCCGCCCGGCGACTCCTCCCCTCGTCCAAGACCTGCCAGACCCTCCTGCTCCAGGTTGAGCAGTTCCATTCCGTTTCTTTTCTTTTTTCTTCTTTAATATATTTTTATGGGAGAGGGAGAGAGAAACATCCGTGATGAGAGGGAATCATGGCTCAGCTGCCTCCTGCACGCCCCACACTGGGGATCAAGCCCGAAATCCCGGGAGTCGAACCGTGACCTGGTTCATAGGTAGACACTCAACCACTGAGCTAATTTAGCCTTTAATCGTCTTATTTTCTGTCTGCAAGCCAGCTCTCCAGAACACGTCATCGCTTTTCATAACGTTATTGTTCTGTTGTTAAAAAATAAAATACATGTACGTTCATCAGTGCAAGGTTAGGAAATACAGAACTATGTCAAGAAAAAAAAAATACCCCTTCTAACGGCCCCACATGACTACTGTATCAGTGGATTGCCTTCCACACGCTTTTCCAATAGAAAGTATTTTCTTCTCAAAATTAGAATCGAACTGTACACACTACTTTTTGTACGTTTTTGATATTAAAATGATATTGCTTCGGCAAAGTAGGGATAGAGGAGGACTTTCTCGAATGGATCGTGGGTAAGGGACAGCGACAAAACTCTGACATCATAATGGAAAGAAGCTAGGAGCTTCCTTGTTCAGGTCAGGAGCGAGGCCAGGGGTCTGTTTTCACCACTCCTTTCCAATATCGTGCGGCCAGTCCCAGCCACTGCAATTAGACGAGAAAAGGAAATTAAAAGTGTCTCTATTGGGGCCCTAACCAGTTTGGCTCAGTGGATAGAGCATCGGCCTGCGGACTGAAGGGTCCCAGGTTCGATTCCGGCCAAGGGCACGTATCTTGGTTGTGGGCGCATCCCCAGTGGGGGGTGTGCAGGAGGCAGCTGATGGATGTTTCTCTCTCATCGATGTTTCTAACTCTCTATCCCTCTCCTTTCCTCTCTGCAAAAAATCAATAAAATGTATTTTAAAAATAAACCTACTTATTTAAAAAAACAAGTGTCTCTGTTGGGAATGAAGACGTAAAATTTTCTTTGTTTACAGATGACATCACCATCTCTGTAGAAAACCTCAAACGATGGACTAAAAGTTGATCAGGAACAAATATTGATTACAGCAAGTTTGCAGGCTCATGTACAAAAGCCGGTCCACTTCCTGTATATATACCAGCAATGAACAATCGAAATGTAAAAATAACACCACCTACATTATTAGCACAAACATGAGCTATTTAGGCGTAAATCTACGTGCACGATCCCTAGGAGGGAAATTACAAAACCCCGAGGAGAGAGATCGAAGAAGAAGTAAATAAATGGAGAGTGGGCCTAGGGCACCCTGTCTGAGAACCGCTCGTGCAAATACCGACTGAAGATCCATGAGCTTGCGATTCCCTACTTTGCTCCCACAGACACTCTGACGGGGGCCTACTGGCAGATGTGAACAGAGGCCTCGCCCATGGATTCGCCACATTCAGGCCGTGCGGACCCTGGGCCGCTCTCTAACCTTTCTGAGCCTCAGTTCTCTCCTCTCTGTGAAGGGGGTGGCCTTGTAAGATGGTTGTGACGATAAAATGAGCCAAATACGTGTAAAGTATGTAGACTAGGGCCTGGGACATAGTCAAGGCCAGTATTTAGTAGATATGAGCTATTATTATTATTTTAAAAAATCTTTGTTGGAAGTATTACATATGTCTCCTTTTTTCCCCCATTGGCTCCCTCCAGCCCACCTCCACCCCTTGCCCCAGGCCTTCAGCACCCCATTGTCTGTGCCCTTGGGTTTTGCATATCTGCACGCAAGGTCTTTGGTTGATTACCTCCCACCCACCCACCTTCCCCCCGCCTTCCCTCCGAGGTTCCCACTCTGTTCCATGCCTCCGTGTCTCTGGATCCACTCCGTCCATCCGTTTATTTTGTTCCTTAGATTCCACATGTGAGTGCGATCATGGGATACTTGTCTTTCTCTGACTGGCTTATGTCACTTAGCATGATACTCTCCAGGTCCCTCCTGCTGCCTCAGAGGGTAAGAGCTCCTTCTTTTTCACAGCTGCATAGTATTCCATGGTGTAACCGTCCCACAGCTTTTCTATCCACTCGTCTCCTGATGGGCACTTGGCTGTTTCCAGATCTTAGCTACTGTAATTGTGCTGCTGTGAACATAGGGGTGCATATATCCCTTCTGATTGGTGATCCGGGTTGCTTAGGCTATATTCCTAGACATGGGGTCACTGGGTCCAATGGCAGTTCCATATTTAATTTTTTGAGGGAACCCCACACTGTTTCCCACAGCTCCAGCCCCAACTTTTAGGGAAAACCAACGAAGTGCAGAATAGTAACTGCTGTCCTGTCTCAGCCTGAACTTTGGTGTTGTGCTCCCGAAAGCCACTAGAGGGCGCACGAACTAACGAACAGGCCTGCACCCCGATCCCTGGCACCTCGGAGGGCTTTGTTGGTTCAGTTAAATTTAGGAGGAGGTACATGCTTCTATCTTAGTATCTGTTCTGCAAAAAAAAAAATACTGAGCAAAGCGGAAACAAACTCAATCCTAAGACTGGGAAGGCACCGTTTCTCCATCGGATGTTCCTGGAGGCTCCGGGCACCCCGAGATCAGATGGGGGGGGGGGACAGGACATGGCCCTACTTGAGGGGCTGTAGGGGGAGAGCATCCATGGAGCACTGGCCTCAAGGAGGGCCCCACCCTATGTCCAGCCCTCCTGCCCCGCTGGGGACCCCGCCAGCCCCCACGGAGAGCCCGGTGCTGTGTGTGTGTGTGTGTGTGTGTGTGTGTGTGTGTGGACAGGAGACAGTCCCTGAATTGTTGAATTGTCTCCAGCATCTCCTACCAGGTCAAGAGCCGGGAAACATCTGAATCCTAATAACCAGACAGAATTTTCCAATGAGGAAGCAGCGGGAAAACCTTTTTTTAAATTTTATTTTAATGAGGTTCCTAGGAAACACCATCCCACACTTTTTGGTGAGTCAAGAGGTAATCTATGTTGCCAGGCCTGCGTGGCTCAGGGGGTTGAGCATCGTGATCTATGAACCAGGAGGTCACGGTTCGATTCCCGGTCAGGGCACATGCCCGGGTTGCGGGCTCGATCCCCAGTGTGGGGCGTGCAGGAAGCAGCCGATCCATGATTCTTTCTTATTTATTTAATTTTGTTTTATTGCTTCAAGTATTACAAAGAGTATTTTTAAAAATGTAAAGTCTCCAATTCATTTGACAGGATGTCGTCACGTGGGGCCTCTGTGGTCACGTCCCGCATCTTAATGCCAGGGGACTGCGGGTCACAGCGCACTTTTGGAACGAACGTCTCACCCGATTCATAGACCGCGTTCTCACGACCGTTCACTTCCGGAGAAATGCTCGCCAGCATCGTAGGCACCTGAGCGCACTATTTATTGCAAGAGGACGGACACGTTTATTGCAGCGGAATATGCCAGGCCTGCGCTCTCCCGTGCGTTCTCCCCCTTATCGTACCGCAGCCGCGCTCGCTCGAGTCTCTAGTACAAAGAGAAATCCAAAGACACGATAGCTACAATCTCGGGTGAGGAGGTTTGCTGAGAACCGCCGACCTGGACCCCTCATATGTACAGGATATGAACATATGTATACCCGGTATGTACACAGTTCACGGGCACCTATTTGTTATAAATAACAGGGTTATCTTAGGTTCTACAAAAATAATCATTTCGGGTGGGCGCATGCAAACCCATACACATAAATTTATAAAACAAATCTCTAGGCTTCCCATTGGCTTTTCAGTATAAATGTTGCTATTGAGCCGTCCGCTAGATGATTTCGAGGCAAACCCCAACGTCCCCAATGAAAAGTAGAAAACCGGCTTCTACCCACAGCGGTCCTCACCCCACTAAACAGTCTGGATCATTGTGTTTCGGATGAATGACAGGTACATACCCCAGGTCCTCAGATCTCAGACTGTCCTGGGGGGGGGGGCAAAAGCTTTCTTCGTTCCACTTTCTGTCTCGTTTCGAATATTACCGACGGCGGGTACTTGTTAAAATATCGTTTTGGCTTTTGTATTCTCCTAAGACGAAC